ATTCAGTTTTATTTTATGATGCCTAACATTTTAACAAGTAAATGATATTTTGGATTGAATTGAATCTTTCATTAAAATTTACCAATAATGAAGCATTGCTTATTGAGAAATTTCTGTATGCTCCATACGGAGGAAGGAAACACTGAAGTATAAGTCATATACATCATTCTAAAAAAAGTTAAGGCAATGGGAACAACAACAAGAACAAAAAAAGATAGTTACAATGGAAAAAAATCATAATTATTGTCAAATAAAATTGAACCAAATAATTTGAAAGATGCAATATTATACTTTGGAGTAAATATTGAACATGGAAGTTTCATGATACAGCAAAAGCAAGTTCCATTCATTTAATCATTTTTATTGAGATAATAAGAGCTATTTTGAACAAAAATAAGAAATATTTTATTAATATTTGACTACATTACAGCAATCATTCAAGTAGACTTCAGGGACTACTTTGGCCTAATTAGTACAACAGTTTTTTTTTAATCTAAAAATGCATTTCCATACTCATAATAGCTATTTTTTCATTTCTCCATCATAAATACAAGTTGACTACATTACAGCAATCATTCAAGTAGACTTCAGGGACTACTTTGGCCTAATTAGTACAACAGTTTTTTTTTTATCTAAAAATGCATTTCCATACTCATAATAGCTATTTTTTCATTTCTCCATCATAAATACAAAATTAAGCAATGACCTCCATTGCCCAGTTAATAGAAACACTGACAGTTTTCCTGCCATTTAAGCAAAACCGTGATCTCATTCCTTCTTAATTCTGTGAGCCACCCAGATGAGATTTGTACATTGAAGGGCAATTGAGCTGAATAACATAAGATAGAGAAAAATTACAACTTTTTTCAAAATGAGGCAAAATATTGGCACTTATAAGAAATATTTTCAGACTATTTGTGGAATTACTAAGACCTGTAAATCAGCAATATATATAGCTACAACAAGTGGCTAAGGAAAGCATTGGGAAACTAACATCATAAGCAGCATCAATTTTAAGTCAAGGTCCATCAAAGCCAATGAACTCATGCCAAAATTGTGTAAATATATGCAATACATATACTAAATAAATTGCTTCAGAAAAGGTAAAGTAATCAGTGCCAGATTAATGAGAAATAAATTATTGAAGAAAACAGGGCTCAAGGATGATACAATTTGAATAATCATTGGGAAAAGAGACTTTTTAAAAGAATTAACTGCATGTGCATCTAAAACAAGGATAGATTAGCTGGACAGGAGAAGATGTATATAGTTAGAACAGGATTGATTTTGCAAAGTCTTGGGAGTCATTTGTTATTTTTTATGAAAATCTTATGAAAAGGACATTAGTCAAATTATTCTGGCAGCAAAATTCAAGATGGACTGGCATACAGACAGACTGCAAAGAAGAAGATGAATGAGTAAGACTCATGCGATAATACACGAGGAAATGAAGCAAAGGCAGTGGCAATGGGAATTGAAAGAAAGAGCAGACGTAAAAGACATATCTAATAAAGGAATTATTAAATGAACACAACTGACAAAAGATGAGATTTAGAAAATTAAAGAAAAAGAAGAATCACAGATGCTTAAAAATGCTTAGTTTGTTAAAATATAAAATCAATACAGTATAATGAGTAGAGTAAACAGGAAGGAGCATAATTGTTGGTCATTTAATAAATTGAGGTTTGTGCTAGTTGTATATATGTTGATTAGAGACAAGAATATAGGACTAAATTCTGAATTTGGAAACTCTTCCTCACTATTCACAAACTCTTAAGTGATGATCACATTAAAGGAAAGTGAAAAACCCATGAGTTCTTAAAATATTTTACTATCTTGCTATACTTAAATAACTGTTAGACAAAGAACTAATATGATCTTAGGCATATTTCCTACAAGTAAAAAGGCTTTAGGGAAAATTCTCAAAACTACACATTTAGTAACTTTCTTTTTAAAAAATCTGATAATATGAGAGTACTTCAAAGAGTTCATGGAAAGATTTGTATTATCTTTCAATTCAGTTTTTCCACAAACTTTCTGAAGTAAACTCGTATTGAATATGGAGATCACTGTTTACTTAAACAATGCCGATCAGTATCTGAATTTTTTAAGTATTGAAAAAATAAGCACTTAAGTGCTGAAGTGTTGCCCAAATACGTTAATAGTATCCACCAACTATGTCAGTGGTCTTTTTCCCTTTTTTTAATTACAGCATGAAGTCATGGTTGAAGACATGATTATTTCATTTATTCATCTGAACAAGTGGTCCTATAGGAGAACAATTCTCAAACAAAAGCCATTAATTACATTGGGAATACATTTCTCAGACAAAAATCATTAATTAGGATTCGTTTGGGAGGAATTATAGATACATTACTTGTATTATTATTAAAGTATTATTCTTCAACCTCTTATAGCTTCTATATTGGGAACAACTCTTGTAACAAAAGACAGGTTAACAAGAGAAAAACAAACAGAAGTTTATAAAAACGTATATTTCATATATATATGGGAAACACCAGAGAACGAGTCGTTCTCAAAGAGGTGGCTTTGAATTCCAGCTTACATGGCATCTTCAACAAAGAAAAGTAAAGAGAAGGGGCAAGACAAAAGAAAAGGCCTTTAAGTTTCTAGAAGCAGTAACTTGGGGGAAAGCAAATAAATGGCAGTTAAAGGCTAGTTGGTAAAGCCTGTTAATGTGGATTCCTCTGGTATCATTTCCAGGCTATTGAGGGTCCAAAGTTGTCTTTAGTGGTTAACCTTTATTTTCTCCGGTAGAGAAGGGGGACAGGATGCCTTCTGTCTTTGTAAAGCTATGCCCTGATTTTAGGCATATAGAGGGAGATCAGAGAGCTTTCCTGCATCTGCTTCTTCTAAGTTGTCTTCAAATCAACAACCTTTCATATTTTGTGGTAGCATATTCTGGTCTCCTACATACTCAATTTTAGACAGGTTAAAAGCAACTTGATTTTACGGTGAAAATCATGCTCATTTTTTTTTTTATGTATCACTAAGAATAAATTTTGCTAGAGTGTTGTTATCTTTTGAAAGAGAAATATACTTCTTCTAATTTTCTAGTTCTTAACATTAGAAAAGACCCCTCCAAATGAGGACTCATTTAGCTTTAAAGTCTTGCTACTCAGAGTGTGGTTCACAGACCAGCAGAGTTTGCATCACTCAGGAACTTGTTAGAAAAGTAGAATCTTGAGTCTATCCCCAGTTACTGAATCAGAATCTACTTTTGAACAACGCTCCTATGTCCATTAAAGTTTGAAAAGCACTAAATTTGCCCTATATAAACTGATTGACCCAATTCAACTTTACAGGTAACTTATTCTAACTCCCTAAGATACATTATAATTCAAATTTTAAGGTTCTATAGGAATGATATTAAGGAATTTTATTTAATACTAGAAGAAGTGGAAACAGTGTTACTGGAAACCTATTACATGCCTGATATTGTGTTAGACTTTTCCAAATCTATTAATTCATTTAACACCTACAATAATCTCTGAGGTAAATGCCACTACCTCCATGTCTCTAGATGTGAAAACCAGCCTCAGGTTTTAATATCTCATCTATTCCATACAGTTGATTCACTGAATAAATATTGAGCATTCCATTTCTGCAAGCCCCTGAGAATAAAATGGGCATGGACCCCACTGCTGCGGAAGGTACAATACCGTAATGGGGAAAAAAGCTAAGAAAGTACAAAGGTAGTGTAGGAGTTTCAAGGAGGGAAACCTAAACTTTCAGAAGCAGGTTAGGAAAAACTTCTATTTGGAAAGAGCTTTTAAACTGATTTCTGAGGAACACATCATTATAAAGTGAACCCTGAAAGAGGGCATAGTGTCATGGAGTTTTGCAAGGGAAATAAGCAACAGTTGAGGCTGGAAACATGACAGGAATACCGTAGAACTCAGTAGAACAAGGTGCGGATGTTGGACCTCATTTAAAGGTCAAAGGAAGCCACTGGAGGGTTTGAAGGGAGGAAGTGACAGGCCCTGATGCACGTTTGGAAACAAATGCTTCTTCGGTCAGACCCGTGCACAGCCCTGCGGGCGGGTGGGTTTACTGGGGCCACTCCCCTAGGCTGCCTTTCTCCACCCAAGTCACCGCCTCCTGCTTCTCAGCTTAGCGGTCTGAGGGGGGTGGGGGGTGGGAAATGTGTAAGGGAGTGGGGGAAGGAAAAGCGTTCTCAACAATGTTAAAAAGAAAACATCCCACTTGGCAGCGAGTGCGCGGGAAGTTCGGCTCTCGAGTTCCGGGTTTCCCGCCGGCCCCCGGCCAGCCGCAGCTCCGGTGAGCCCCCAGCCCCCCGTTTGGCCTCAGCCTGCCGGGCCGCGTCCGGCCGTCGGTCTGCCGGTCTGTCTGTCCGCCTCCCCCTCCCCCACCCATCCTTCATCGGGACGCCACGCGGGAAGGAGGGACGGAGGGTCGCGCGCGTTGGTCCGGACGCCGGAGCCCGCGTCGCTCCCGGGCCGCGCCTCAGCCGCCGCGTCTGCCGTGCCTGGTACCGGGCGGGTTCGGGACTGGCCCAGGGCCCGACCCGGCCGCCCGTGCTCCGCGGCCTGCGCTGCCGCCTCGGAAACCACTTGTGGAGTTCTTCCCCAGCGGCTGTAACTTTAAACCAGTCTGAGCGAGGCCTATTTTTGTTCAGGAACCAGCGACCCGGGCGTCCGTGGGGAGGCTCGGATGGAGGCCCGGCCCACCACTTGAAGGTTTCTCCCAAATGGGCGGGGAAGGAACGTCTTGTCCTCATACCCTTTCTTTGAGATTTCAAAGTTCTATTGCCAACTCCCAGGGAAAGCCGGATTGGTTGCTGTGGGGCTTTTGGATAAGGGCCTTTCCAGAGCCTGGGGGAGCTGTACCTGAACCCCATTGCTTGGCTAAGCGGTGGTCCTGCGGCCACCACACTTGAGCCGGGCCTGAGCCGTGGCCTGGCCTCCCTCTTGCAGGAATCGCTGCAAGAGCTTCTGGGGACAGGCTCGCGGTGGGGAGGAGCAAGGAGATGAATGTAGCAGCCAAGTATCGCGTGGCCTCCCTGTATGTGGGTGACCTACATGCAGATGTCACTGAGGACCTGCTGTTCAAGAAGTTCAGCACGGTGGGGCCTGTGCTGTCCATCCGCATCTGCAGGGACTTGGTCACCCACCGCTCTCTAGGCTATGCCTACGTGAACTTCCTGCAGTTGGCTGATGCCCAGAAGGCCTTGGACACAATGAATTTTGACGTGATAAAAGGCCAATCTATCCGTCTCATGTGGTCTCAGCGTGATGCCTACTTAAGGAAATCTGGAATTGGGAACGTGTTCATCAAGAATCTGGACAAATCCATCGATAACAAAACCCTCTATGAACACTTTTCAGCTTTTGGAAAGATCCTGTCCTCCAAGGTGATGAGTGATGATCAAGGCTCCAAAGGTTTTGCATTTGTGCACTTTCAGAACCAGAGTGCTGCGGATAGGGCCATTGAAGAGATGAATGGAAAGCTGCTCAAGGATTGCAAGGTGTTTGTTGGCAGATTCAAAAACCGTAAAGATCGGGAAGCTGAACTCAGGAACAAAGCCAGTGAATTCACCAATGTTTACATCAAAAACTTTGGAGATGACATGGATGATCAGAGATTGAAGGAAGTTTTCAGCAAATATGGCAAAACTCTGAGTGTTAAGGTGATGACAGATTCCAGTGGGAAATCCAAAGGCTTTGGGTTTGTAAGTTTTGATAGCCATGAGGCTGCCAAAAAGGCTGTTGAAGAAATGAATGGACAGGACATAAACGGACAGCTGATTTTTGTAGGTAGGGCACAAAAGAAAGTAGAGCGACAGGCTGAGTTAAAGCAAATGTTTGAACAGCTGAAAAAGGAAAGAATTCGTGGGTGCCGGGGGGTAAAGCTCTATATTAAGAACCTTGATGATACCATTGATGATGAAAAACTACGAAAGGAATTTTCTTCATTTGGATCAATTAGCAGAGTTAAGGTAATGCAGGAAGAAGGGCAGAGCAAAGGATTTGGATTGATCTGCTTCTCCTCTCCTGAGGAGGCCACTAAAGCAATGACTGAGATGAATGGTCGCATATTGGGCTCTAAACCCCTCAACATTGCCTTGGCCCAGAGGCATTAGGAAAGAAAAAAATTACCTCACCAGCTACTATTTGCAGCAGGTGGGGGAATGGTATTGATCTCTGCCTGAATTGTTCTCAGTAAATTTCAAATCCCACCTGATAGCTGCTTAGTTTGGTAAACTTTGTGATTTTTTTTTTTTATACAAAGCCATTTTATTTTATTTTTTTGTGTGTGGAAAAATAAAAACAATAAATCTTAGAAACTGGTTCATTTTACAGAGGCATACCTTCTAATTTTAACATTTTTTATTTTCTTATTTTGATGTAGTATTCATAGCAATAAGAATAATTAGATATATTTTTATTACATTTTGAACTAACTGAAGTGAGGTCATTATTTTAGTTTATTGTGTATTTTCTTTCTTATTTTAATATTATTGCTAGCTTTAATTTTTTCTATGAAAATATGCTCAAAATAGTTCATATACCTAAGGATTCCAAAGTAATTTATTTTTAACAACAGAAATTTTCTATTTTTCAATCAATTTTTTTTTGAGATTTCAGAAGTTTAGAAATTAGTAGTACAAATTTAGTTAAATGTCTAATTTCATTTTGAATTAGTGTTTAAAGCACTAGGAAATACATGGATGTCTTTAAAATTTATATCCTGACATGATTGTTTTTCTGATGGCTTAAGTTAATGTGATGGAGGTTTTTAATGTTGCCTACAAACTGGGTTTATGGGAAATTCATTCTTACCATTGGCTGACTATAATTCAGGTACTTACTAGTTATCTAAATTGTGACTTGCATAGTAAAATCTTAAGTTCTACATTCCTTAAAGTTGTAAACCTGGATCAATTCAGGTGACCCAAAGTTGGCCTGGTCTTAAATCTCTTCATACATTTATAGCTTAATATTATGTCTAAAGTTTTTGCCAGATACCAAATTGGGAGTCATATATACATAATAGAAATTCTGTTTAAAACCTAATTTTTAATCTCTGTTATATATTGTTACAGATAGTGATATTCTCTCAGGGTTCAGAAAAGTAAGTTTCTTTATGAACTCATACTTCCTTGGATTAAACTGAGAACTATGTAACCCATTAAGGTTCACTTTTAACCTTGACTGATCAGAAATTCACTAACTGATTTTCTGATAAATTGAAGTTACATTGCTTAGCCTGTTTTCTAGTGTAATTTTATTGTGGTCCCATTTTCAGATCTTCCCTTCTCTCCTGCCTTTCATTTATATTATTCAGCTTCTTTTTATACTTTTTTTTAAAGGATTTTTATCATATTGGCTTTTAATATGTGCTGCTTTAAATCCATGAGGAAATAGAGGCAAGAGTTATTTATTTACATTTCAATAATTACTTAAAAAATTCTGATTCATTCAAACCAAAGCTGTCTGGAAAATGGTTTTGTTGTTGTCGCCTTTGTGCCACTTACATTTCCATTGTCAGTGTGGGGGAGTGCCCATTTCTATACACTGTAAGGAACAAGAGGTTTTGTTTAAGTTGTTGGACAATTCAACATAATGTGTAAATAAAACCATTTTACAATTACTTTATTTCACTCTTTATTACTACTTTTTTTAATTAGGAAAGCTACACAATATTTCTTTTGTTTATTGTCCATTTGTATTTTCATATTTGTGAATTAATGTTCCATGATTGTAATGTATTTTTCTATAGGCATGTTTTTTATTTACATGTATTTGTTAAATTTCTTTGCATATGAACAACATTTTAGACTATTTTCACAATGTTCTCACTTTATTTATAGCTTTGAAGCTTGTTCCAAAGTTAAATTTTAAACTCAAAATTTTCAGTTTTTACTTATATGGCTTTGATATCATGCTTCAAAACATCTTGAACATCTTAAATATATATATATATATATATATATATGTATATATATGTATATATATACACACACATGCACATACATACACTGTATTGTCTTTCAGAGTTTCATTTTCTCAGTAATTTCTAATCAAAACTTTTGTCTATAAAGTATCTTATACAATACCTGTAGTAAATCTTTTAAAAATGTCTTGCTTTTCAATCTTTAATAACATATGTTTTGGTAAATACTAATTTATAAGAATTTATGTGAAACTCATATGCCAACTTTAGTTCATTGCATCCCTGAATCACTGAGTTGAGAAGCGTTTACCTCAGAAGCAGAGAGTTGTTACGGAAGGATACCATGCGACAGGACAGGTCAGTGTAGTGTACTTTCACATCTTTTTTTGGATAATCCAATCTATAAAAATGTTCAAATATTTAAACAATGTGTGATAATGCTTGTATATGGATTATCAAGGTAAAATCAGGACACAGTTCTCTCTAATGTGCACAAGAAATTAATAGGACATGATATTAAATGTCTAGATGAATTGTAGCTATAATGACACTATAATTTACCATCATAGTAGAAATTGCTTATTTCCAATATTTAACAAAAGAAATGACTATGTCAGTTACAAAAATATATGATCCTGTGGATTTCCTTGATTAAAATTCATTGACTCTCTGAATCACTGCATTGAGAAGTGTTTACCTCAGAAGCAGAGAGTTGTTTCTCATTCTAATTGTGTGTGTGTGTGTGTGTGTGTGTGTATGTGATGATATCAAGTCATCCTACTTGGCAGGAGAGGTTCATTCTTCCAGGAAAATTAAATCTTTTGTGCCCAAGTGCCTTGATAAATAAGTAGAATCTACTTTTCTGATAAGTATTCCAGTTAAAGCTAACTTACATAGAGATGCCACTCTTGCCTCTGTCTTTCTTGCCAAGTCTGTTGTATAGATGCCCAGTTACTTGTGTAGCCAATTCAATAAATATATGCCTTTTAACATGTAATTTTTAAATTTTCAAATGGAAATTTACAGTTGATAAAAATACAGTTTTTAAAATAGTTTAATATTAGTATTTTTATGTTCTCAATATTTTTATACATCCACTAGAAAATATCAAATAAAATCTAATATTTCAATGGTGAAGACTTGTCTGAAAATGATTTTTATTTATTTTATATTTATGTATTTCTTATTATCTAAAGATCAGTTTGCTTTAGGAATAAATTGAAAATAGCTTGTTTTTAAATGACACTATGCATGCTTCATGTTTTAAAAGGCCAATTTTTATATGAGCTACTATTTATTTCTTAAGTTACTCATAATTATGGGGCCATAACTGAATAAAAAAACACTAACATAGATCAAGTTTTTATGAGGTGTGATTGACTATTTTAAAAATACTTCTGAATTTAATTTTTAAAGCAAAATTCAGCTGAGATGTTGAATATTCAGAATTAGCTTACTTATAATGTATTTGGAAATATGCCTCAAGTGCAATTTAAAAAAAAATAGATAATAAATCAGTAGATAGAAAAAATAATTTTTTAAAATCTACATTTTTAAAAAGTAGAAAAAAATTAAATATCCTCAGGATACTTCGGCTTCAAGTAATGGAAACTATAGCTCAAACTGAAAAAGGAAATTTTATCTAACAAAATGTTCAGAGTTAAGGTATCTTCAGGCATGGTATATCAGGTATATCAGAAGCACTGATATACTGAGCACTACTGCTCCAGGAGTCTCCTAGCTCTTCCCCCTCTGTCTCTTGGCTTCATCATCAGACATGTAGCAAGGTGGTTGCAACAATTCTTGTCATCACATTCAGTAGGTGATGCCTTTCCCAAAAACCTTTTAGAAACTTCCCCCCTCAGTCTCATTGTCCAATATTGGTACATAGATTCAACAAGATCTGCCACTAGAATTGGGGAAGGAGTCAACTTTCCAAGTTCTGTTTGGAATGGGGTTATGAAAAGAAACAAGAATGGAAATAGATGTAGGGTGATGCATCCACTAAACTCTATGTTTTTCATTATTTATATCTAGGAATTTCAATAGTTATTTGATATTTTCTTTATTCTTTTAACTTTTGCATATAAATGTTTCTTAAAATCCCAGTTTCTTCCTTCAAATAGTTTTCAACAGTGAGTCAAGCTGATTTTCCTCTATCTCATTTTGTACAATCTTATAGAATAAATTACTCAGATACACCAATATACGTACAAAATTAAATTTGATTTTGTTTGGGCGTAGGACTCATGTTGTTACATGATACCACAGTGTATTAGGTCTAAATTAGGCACCTAGTGAAAATTAAATCTGAAAAGGTCAGATGCAATTCAGTCATCTATACAGATTTCCACTAACAACAATTATCAGCAGATTACAAATGGTTAGGAATGTTTCAATATAAATCCACATTTACTAAGTTATTGATTTTTTGAGATTTAATTCAGTGTATTCTAAGCCCAACATGTTTTCATATATACTAATATTTTAGAATTGTATCACCAGAGGGAAGGGACTTTTAATTTGTTGTGTATACCACCAACTATTGTGATATTCTATATAAATAATTTAAAAAGAAGAGTTCCTACTGATAATGTAACGAATAAATCTTGAGAAAAATCTAAAAAGTTTACACCTAAAAAACGGCCTTAATATATAAAACTAACAACCACAAAAGCAAATTACTGAGTGCTCATTTTTCTTACTAAAGGATTTATTAATAGGTCCTTTTGCAAGAAAACTACTAGTACAGTACATTCAAATTACATGAATTAATAAGATTGGACTTACACAAAGGTTTACAATATATTTTTTCCTGTATTACACAAATGTGGTATAAGCCCATACTGTCACATAATTTAACCATTATACACACACACACACACATAAAAAGTTGTGCTAAATTCTGAGTTACAGAAATGCACTTGGACTTGAATTTGTTTAGGTCAGATGATTTTTCACATTTTCTTAGAAGAAATATTTATGGCTTTGTGTTAGTTGTGTCTCATGGTCATATCTTATCTTAGAGGTCACAGAATGCTCTTAACTAAATTGAAGGTCCCCTGAATGAAACAATTGAATTCATCTAGCAAGAGAAGAAAAATTATCCATTTAGTGGCATTCTTTATTAGAGAAAATGCTTAGTTTCTGAGAGATATTGGCAGTTTGTTCAATGATTGCATCAGATTTTGTTAACCCATTTATATTTATATCACCTTAGACATTAAAAAAATACCCATTTTGAAGCTCTGCCAAATACTAAGAGCACATTTGAGTTCTGAAGGCATTGTAACTGCAATGGTGGATATTCTTATTGACTTTTTTTGGTTTTTGCATCCAGTGAATTTTGGTCATGATTCACTTTTGTTTATTTGGTTTTTGTTTTTTAAATAAGTATTTCCAGTGGGATCTGACAGTCTGTAATGCATCACAATTTTGATTTACATTGCATTATATCTTTATACATGTGCCAGTGGCGTACCAGTGTATCACAAGTTTTGACATAATGCCAATCCTAGTTTCTT